CCCATCCCCCATCCCCATCCCCTCTCCCAAGCCACCAAACGATCCCAACCGTTAGCCACCTCACCCTCCCCTCCTCCCTCCCTGTCATGGATGGCGAGCCCGAGGCCGAGACGGCAGGTCTGCCACTGCCACCAGGGCCTCTGGCCACATCAGACGAACTACGGGATGCTGTACTGGCTGCCCGGGCGGCGGCTCGTGTCCACCACACCCGCGCTCAAGTCCTGGACGACGAGGTAGAGCGGCTGAAGGCCGAGCTGGCGGCAGCCGTCACGACCGACAAGTTGTCGGCAGAGCGCCTGGCTGCTGCAGAGAGCCGCATCGATGAGCTGGAAAAGCAGCTCAATCGGAGATTGTCTCGGAACTCACGGCGATCAGCTCCGTCACCGAGTGCTGGTGAGCCCGATCTTGTCGCCTACCGGTCCGACTACTCTACCAACGCCGTCCTTGCTACCCTCCCTCCCGAGCTTGATCGGGACTCGGCACCCGAGTCCATCTCGCGGCGCGAGGCCGCTGAGGCTGCTATTGAGGCTGCTGCCAAGGCGGCGGCCCGTGAAAAGCACCTTGTCGACGCGCTCGACGCCGCAAATGCCCGCATCGCTGAGCTGCAGCTCCAGCGTGACACCGCCGTCGAGGATCGCATGGTGGCCCAGGCCATGACCCGCTCCGCCATGGACCAAGCCAACGCCTCCGCCAAGGTCGCCGCTGAGCTCCGCGACAAGCTCAACGCCGCCGTCGACACTGCCACCGCCTCGCCGTCGCCGCCATCTCTCCGCAGCGCCACCCTCTCCACCCACTCGCTCTCACCGGCCGCTGGCCCGGACGTCGCCGCTGCTCTCGCCGCTGCCCGCTCCGGCTCGCCACGCCCGCCATCGCGCCTCGGCTCGTCGCCGCTGAACTCCTCCTCGCGCCTCTCAGACGACGGCTCGTCGCCACCGCACCCGCCGCGCGTCCGCTCACGCTCTTCGCGCTCGCAGTACCTTGCCGCCGTCAAGCCGACAGCCAACGAGAGCCTCACTGCGTCGCCGCCCCGGACCGCCGCCGCCCGCTCAACACTTGCTGCCTCGCGATCTGCCCGCGCCAGCCTCTGCTCGGCCTCGCGCTCCGACTCTGACGAGAGCGATGCGGGCGACGCCGACTCGCTCGTCTCGGAACTCGTCGCCGAAGTCAACTGCGAGATGGAGCTTCAGTTTGCCATGGACGAGCGCCACACTGCCGTGGTCTCTCGCCTCGCAGACAAGTGCCGCGCCATGGCTTCTGACTACGACGAGTCTCGCCGCGTTCTCCAGGCCGAGATCAACCGGCTCACCGCCGTCGTCACCGCGCTCGAGATGCAGCAGCCGGTTTTTGGCGTCGTCGCCATCAACGGCTCATCCTCGCTTCCATTCCAGCTGACAGAGACCTACGAGAACACGTTTCTCATCCAGTTTGTCGCCCGCCCGGGCCTACTACCGTCCTTGTCACCAACGCTGCGGCCCGAACGCCGGCTCTAGACTCGCCGTCGCGCTCTCTCTCGCGCTTCAACTCGGCTGTCGCCTCGATGACCTCGCTCTCTGCCTCGGTCAATGCCACAGACGACGCATTGGACTGCGCCTCGCTCTCGCCCTCGCCGCGTCGCACCCTCTCTCACCATCCGTCAGCTGTCTCGGAGCTCTCACTCGTCTCTTCGGTCGCCTCCCGCGGCTCGGGCTACTCGAGCCACCGCGTCACAGACCTCGGCATCGCGCCGCCGGCCATTACAGACCCGTCGATCGCCGCCGCAAAAGCCCGCGCCGCCGCTGCCACCATCCGCCCGCGCCTCGGCCTCGCTATCTGCCCCACCTCCAACCTTCACATCGGCGTCGAGATCGCAGACATCGAGCCCAACGGGCCTGCCCAAGCCGCCGGCCTCCGCATCGGCGACATCATCGTCGCCCTCGGTGGCGCAGATGTCAACTCGCCAGCCGCCTTTCGCGCTGTTGTCGTCGCTCTTGCCACCCCGCGCACTCGCCTTGCCGTCAAGTACGTCCGCGATGCCTCGTCCGTCGCTACCACCACGATCGTGGCTCTCCCTGCCAAACCCAAGCGCTCTGCTCGCTCGCTCTCGTCGGCCTTTTCCGACTCCATCTCCCGCACACCCTCGCTCGTCGCCCTCAACCACATGTCCCCCGAGCAGCGCGCCGCCCTCGACGCTGCCCGCGCCCGCCACGGCGCCGACAGCATCTCGGTCACAGAGGCGCTGCTTGAGGCTGAAGGCCTCCGGTAAAGACCACAACCACCTTTAATTCAAGGGCCAAGCAGCGGCACCTCGTCGCGCATTCCCCTTCCCTGCCGCCGCTGCCGTCTCACCGCGCCCGGCTTCATCAGCTCAGCCAGCGTCGGCGGCTTGTACCGCCGCAGCAAGAGCGAGGAGCAGACGACCGAGACCGACGACATAGCCATGGCGAGGCCGCCGAGCCACGGTGGAATCATGATCGTCGAGTACGGGCACCAGTACAGCCATCCGGCCGCCAGCGGAATGCCCACACAGTTGTACACCAGTGCCCACACAAAGTTGAGCCGGATGCGGTTAAAGGTGACCGATGAGAGGTCGATCGCCACCAGCACGTCTACCAGCGACGACTTCATGATGACCACGTCCGCCACGTCGATGGCCACGTCCGTCCCGGCTCCGATGGCAATGCCCACATCGGCCTCGGCGAGCGCAGGCGCGTCATTGATCCCGTCGCCCACCATTGCCACCATCGGCTTGGCCCCACCGTTCACCCAAGCGTCCTGCGCCTGGAGCGCACGCACCGCCGCTGCCTTTTGTGCAGGCAGCACGTTGGCCGTGATGCAGTCCGGCGGCAGCCCGAGCTGCGTCCCGATGTAGTTGGCCGCCATTGCGTTGTCACCCGTCAGCATGTGAACCTGGATGCCGCGCGACCGCAGCGCCGCCACAACGCCCGCAGACTCGGGGCGCACCTTGTCGGCAATCGCAATCGCGCCGAGCAGCACATGCCGCCCGCTGCTGCCCGCCACCACAGACACAAGGACCACCGTCCGCCCCAGCGGCTCATGCTCTGCAAGAAAGTCGCCAATCTCCATGTCGTTCTCGCTCAGCAGCTCGCCGCCCTCACTCCCGTCTGCCGTCATGAACCGCGGCGCGCCGACCCGGACCCGCAGCGGCTGCCCAGCTGCAACCCGGACCGGGCCGTCCACTCCTAGCGCGTCGAGCTCCACGTCGCACGGCGCCACCACAACCGCCTCCACCCCGTGCCCGGTCACAGACTCAAACTCGCTCACCACCGGTAGCTGCCCGGGCTCCAGCCCAAGCGTGCCCTTGCAGTGCTCCAGAATCGCCAGCGCAAGCGGGTGCTGCGAGTTGGCCTCCAGCGCACCGGCGAGCTGGAACAGGACAAGTTCGGCGTCGTCTACAGACTCGGACCACGCCGCGCACGCCGCATGCTCGATTACCGTCGGCTTGCCGAGCGTAAACGTTCCGGTCTTGTCAAACACCACCGTAGTCACCCGGTGGCACGACTCGAGCGCCGCGCCACCCTTGATCAGAATCCCGTGCGCGGCGCCGACGCCAGTGCCCACCATCACCGCCGTCGGCGTCGCCAGGCCCAGTGCACATGGACAGGCAATGACAAGGACAGAGACTCCAAACATGAGCGAGGTGAGGAAGCCCGACGAGCCGTGCGGGTAGCATGCCGCCGGCAGCGTGCCCGACGATGTGAGCACCAGCCAGAGCACAAAGTTGGCTGCCGCAAGCAGCAGCACGCCAGGCACAAACTTGGCCGCCACACCATCTGCAAACGACTGGATCGGCGCCTTGGACGTCTGCGCCTCCTCCACCAGCTTGATGATTTGCGCCAGCGCCGTGGACGACCCCACAGCTGTCGCCTCCATCCGGAAGCTCGAGTTGACGTTGATCGTTCCGCCGAGTACCGTGTCTCCGGCCTCCTTGGTCACCGGCATCGACTCGCCGGTGATCATCGACTCGTCTACTGTCGACCGCCCGCTCACCACCCGCCCATCGGTCGGAATCGCGTCACCCGGCTGGACAAGCAGCACATCGCCGCGCTGCACAAGATCAAGCGAAATGACTTCGCGCGAGACCTCACTACTTGTGGCATCGCCCTCCTCCTCGAGCACAAGCAGCGTCGCAGTCTTGGGCTGGAGCCCGAGCAGCGACGTAATTGCTGCAGACGTCTTGCCCTTGGCCAGCGACTCAAACATCCGCCCCATCAGAATAAACGTGAGCAGCATGGCAGAGGTCTCGAAAAACGTCGTCGCCCGGTAGCTCGGCCGCACCACAGACACCGCCGTCGCCAGCAGCGAGTAGCTCCACGAGATCGTCGTCGCGCTCACCACCAGCACGTCCATCGTTGGTGACCAGTGCTTCATCGACTTGTACGCCGAGATGTAAAACGGCTTGCCGAGCCCAAACTGGACCGGCGCAGAGAGTATCGCCAGAAACACGTTGGCGTGCGAGGCGCCCAGGAACGACCGCGCCTCCAGAAAGCTGCTCACAGGCTCGACATGGTTAAACACAAACGAGAGGAGGAAAATGGGAACTGTGAACATCAGCGACGTCACAAACTTGGCCCGCCAGTCTGCCGTCTCACTCGCCTTGGTCAGTCGGTCCACAGACGCCTCCGCCGCCGCGAGCCGCGCCTCAAACCCGAGCTCCTCCACCGCCGCAATGAGGTCGCGCGGGCCCACAACCGCAGACTGGTGCTTGATGCTCGCCACCCCGGTCGTCAGGTTGACTGCCACAGACGCCACCCCGTCCATCTCGCCCACGTTACTCTCGATCGTATGCACACACGACGAGCACGTCATCCCGTCCACGTCCAGTCGTGTGTGCGTCAGCTGCGACGTCTCGGCCTCCAGGAACTCGGCGCCGAACCCGATCTCGTCAAACTCGGCCACGAGCTCGTCCACGCTCGTCTGCTCAGGCTCAAACATGACCTCGGCCTTTTCCGCGAGCAGGCCAACCACAATCGAGACCACTCCCGGCCGCGCCGCAAAGTGGTTCTCGATCGACCGCACACACGACGCGCACGACATGCCACTCACCCCAAACACCGCCCGCTGTGCACTGCTACTGACCCGGGACCCACTTTGGCCTGCGCCGCCCGCTGCGTCACTTGCAGATCCTCTGCCGCCCGACTGCGTTCCCGACGACGCCTTGGATAGCAGCGACCGTGTGACCACCGCAGCATGCTCCCGCCCCTCGACAACGTCAAAGCCGGCGTCCTCAATCGCGCCCCGCACCTGCGCCTTTGCCTCGCTGTCAAGAGCGGTGTCAGCGTAGACCACTGCCGTCTCGTCGTCGAGCGAGACAACCGCAGTATCCACAAAAGGCAGCACCCGGAGCGCTCCGGTGATCGAGTTGACGCACGACGAGCACGTCATGCCTGTCACGCCGACCGTCAGTGCGTAAAGTGGCGTCGGCTCACCGACCACAGACGCGTCAAAGCCGAGATCCTCAACAGCGCCCACCAGCCCATCGATGGTGCCGACCGCGCGATCGAGAATAACCTCCACCGTCGATGCCCCGCCCGAGACTAGCGTGACCGAGAGAACCCGGTCAACGCCACGCGTCAGCGGAAGGTTCGACTCGATCGCCGCCACGCACGACCCGCACGTCATGCCGAGCACCTCGAGTGTGACTCGGGCGTGCGCAGCAAGGCTTGCAAGCTCGCCGGTCACGCTCGCCACCGTCCGCGCATCAAACCCGAGTGCCTCCACCGCAGACACCAGACCGGCCCTGTCGATTTGCTGCTCGTTGTGCCGCGCGACCACAAGACCCGGCGTGAGCTCGACCGCGTCGAGACCGAGCACGCCATCGAGCTTGGGTAGCTGACCGCGGATTGCCGCCACGCACGAACCGCACGTCATACCGTCGACCGCAATGATGCTCACCTGCTGGCCTGCCAGCTCGGCGAGCGGGACTGCAGACACCACTCTGGCATCAAAGCCAGCACCCTCCACTGCTGCCGCCACCTCGGCCGCCACTGTGCCCGGCACGATGTTACCCTTAACGCTGGCCACCAAAAGGCCCGGATCGAGCGAGAGAGCCTCGACCTGCGCGCCGGCCACGCGCTCGCCCAACGCCGCCGTCACCGAGCTTGTGCACGACGAGCAGGTCATGCCGTCGATAGCCACCACAACCACTACGCCAGGTGCACCGCGAGCCGCCATGCGGAGCGAAGCCAGCCCGCTATCACCTCCATCTCTCTGCTGTCCAGACTCGCCCGAGACCAGCGACCCGATCGAGGTCGCCGTCGTGAGCGAGCCGGCTGTCGAGACCAGCTCCGATCGCGTAGCAAGTTCAAAGCCTGCGCTTTCCACCGCTTCACCCAGCCGGGCAATCGAGACCTTTGACGGATGATACGAGATTCGAACCAGATGTTCATCCAATGATGCATGAGCCGACAGCACGCCATCGACCTGACCCAACGCCGCCTCCACCGCCTGCGTACATGATGTGCAGGTCATGCCTATCTCCGTCCACCCCGTTCCACCACCACCACCACCACCGCCACCACAAGTATATCAACCATCACGACATGTCCTCTCTCCATGACGTAACCCCCCCCCCCCCCCCTCGCCGCTGCCCCCCCCCCCCCCCCCCACTCCCCTCCGCCACCCGACTCCCCCCGACCCCACCCCCGCCACCCTCACCCTCACCCCCTACCCCCCACATCATCTACTACATACCAGAGATATGGAGAGTGACGATGGACCACTCCTCGGAATTGGACCCTCTCATTGTCGGTCTCACGACGAGTCTTGCTCCCCTTCCCCCACCCCCGTTCCACCCCGCACACGTGGACTCGTGTCGGTCAGGCCTTCTCAGGTCGCACCCGACCCTCCCCGTCCTGAATGGCCACACACACGCTACCCATGCGGTCACAGTCAAATTCAAACAATCACGCCAACTCACCATGATGATATAATATGGTTATATGGTCGGATCATTGTTTCGCTATGGAGCAGATGACGACAACAATGACCACGATGTCGCTACGTCAAGGTCGGAGTGCCCATGTCCATCCCGACAGCAGCGCCGCCGCTCATAAACTCGGGCTCGTCGTCGGGAAAGGCCATGCTCGTTGCAGGCTCGCTTCCAAAGGCGTAGTTGGGCGAGGTAGCCATGGCGGCTGGCACTGGCTCGGAAGGTGGGCCCGGCGATGGATGGAGCATCGAGTACAGGTCTGCCGTGTACGCCTGATGCGACGCGGCTTCGGGGTGGAATCGGAGCATTTCGTTGAAGAGTAGGGCGCGGATGGTGGACGCGTCGAGGCTTGGTGCAAGCTCAAAGTCAAAGGGAGCGAGCTGGTGTGGCGCCTCGATCTCGGAAGCGCGGTCGCGGAATTCAGTGTCAAAGACCGGATGGTCGAGCGCATCAGCGGCGCTCAGCCGAGTCCGCCAGTCCATGTCCAACAGCCGTGTCGCGAGGTCAAGCAAGTCCGGCGGTGCGTCTGGGAATCGGGCCGAGAGCGGGACAAACGGCGGAAAGGTGTAGCCGAGGATGTAGCTGCGCGCATCAGCCGGGTACTGGTCCACAAGATCGCTCGGTGGTGGGCCAAAGGTGTCCAAGATGAGGTTGAGTTGCGAGAGGTCAGTCGGCCCGTCGAGCCACGGCCGCGCGTCGCCGGAGAGAAACTCGAGGATCATCATGCCTACGGCCCACATGTCGATGGCTTCCGAGTAGTTGTACGGGTCGAGAAAGAGCTCAGGTGCACGATACGCCCGAGTCACCACCACCGCCTCGTAGTCTGGTACAATGTGCTGCTTGGCGAGCCCAAAGTCGCAGATCTTGAGCACGCAGTGTGCGTTGGTGAGGCAGTTGTCTGGCTTGAGGTCGCGGTGCATGCAGCCTGCCGAGTGCAGGTACTTGAGTGCCTTGAGGATCTGGTAGGCAAAGAAGACGTAGTGCGCAGACGTGAGGCTCTGTGAGGAGGCAAGGACCGACCGGAGGTCGACGTCGACCAGCTCGACTACCAGGTACAGATCTGTGAACGACGTGGCGTCGCTTGCGGCGATGGGCATGACGTCGAGCAGCGCGAGAATGTTGGGATGATCGAGCACGCCCTGGATGGCCAGCTCACGCAGTGTGCGCTTGGCCTGCAGCGTCAGTGCCTCGGTCGAGAGCCGCTTCGCGTCCATCAGCCGCGACAGCTTCTTCACCGCCACCTCCTTTCCGCTCGCCACCTCGACCGCCCTCGCCACCACACCCGACGTTCCAGCCCCGAGCACTTCCTCCACCCGATACCGCCCGTCCACCACCAGCATCTCCTCGCGCCCGTGTACAGTCACCGTATACTGCACCCTTCCCCCGTCGTCGGTCGCCATTTCCCACTCCCCACGCAGCAAAGTCGGGTGTTGCTGTTGCCCTCCCCAACCCCGTCCCAACCCCAGCCATGACTGCGGCAAACGTATCGCCGCCTGGTCTGAGCCGTGCTACCCCAGCCAGCCACCATCAGCGCCATCATACCCCCCCCCCCCCCCCTCCCCCCTGATTAGAGCGTTGTAGGCTTCACCGTCCACGACTGCACCTGCCGGTGGTGTACCCACTGAAGGATGAAGCGGATGTGATTATTTGTAAACTTTTTTTTTACAACTTTTGATTGTTTCTACACCACCAAAAACTAGTATACCGACAAAAGGGAAATTATTGCTTAACGGAAGTCGCTACAGAGCATGGATAGGAGATAAAAAACAATATCTGTTGGTTCTGATAGAAGCAACTAGTGGGTTGCTTTAGGTTCCTGGAGAGATGCTCAAAGGACACGCCCATCACCACCACACACACACCGACCACGACATCGATCAGACCATTCCCACCCCATCCCATCCCATCCCACCCCATCCCATCCCATCCCATCCCAACTACCAAGTCCAGCAAGTAGATCCTAGTCCCTCCATACCCCCCCCCTCCCCCTTCCCCCTCATCTAGCCCATCTTGCCCATCATGTTGCCATCGCCACCATCAGGGCAGGGCATCAGCCAAATACGCCAACACTGGCCAACCCTGTCACGTTTTCATGAACACATTCATTGTTCTTCCAACAACCCAACAAACTAGGATACGGCTGTCCAGAGGCGAGTCACGACACGCTCTGCTCCCTCACGCTTGCTTGGCGTGAAGATGCCGATACACATACACACACTCGAGTCAATGGCAGCGGTAGACTTTGAGGAGGTGGTGCTGGGCCTGAAGAGGTACCTTGTGGGTGTAGGTGCGGTCTTTGCTGAGGAGGTCGAAGAGCATGTTGCTGAGGATGACCGTCCCTTGACTATGGCCGTAGCAATGGCTCAGAGTGGCTCGGGCCAGGAAGCGATGACGACGACGACGACGGCGGCGGCGGCTACGACGGCGGCGGCGGCGGCTGCGACTGCTGCGGCTACGACAACAGGCGACATTGAGACGGGAACAGGCTTCCCGACCAAGTTGCTCAGTACATACATGTGTGGCAGAGACCCAGAGCCGTACCTGAGCGAGCTCGCGGCCACGCTGAGGGTCTCCGTTTGTGGGGCAGGCTGGAACGAAGGCGCACTTGCCTTTCGCTGTCTCACCTGCCAGGTCTCCGACTCTTCGGCTATCTGTGCCGCCTGTTTCAAAGCCTCGGATCATGCTGATCATGAGTACAAGATGTACAAATCGGGCTTTGGCGGCGTGTGCGACTGTGGAAACGAGCTGGCATGGGCAAGAGAGGGCTTCTGCTCCGCCCATCAGGGCTACGATCCTGACTTCAACACCCTCAGCCAGCTCCCGCCCGACCTTCTCGCTCGAGCGCGCAAGCTCATGGTGCTGCTGCTCAACGCGCTCGCACATGTGCTGGCCCCGCACTCGGTGCCCATTCCCGACGCGCTCGCCCTTGCCTCACCAGCACCGGACATCCTTGCTACAGACATCATGGACTATGTCCTCGGCATCTCGAACCTCTCGGACGCCTTTCGTCTAATCGTCACCGAGGCCTTCACCTTTCCGGTTACACTCATGCCGCTGATTGACGGCACCACGCCGACGGCCCATGCCGTCGCCGCCGCCGTAGCCGACTTTGAGGCCTCGGGCGCACTCGACGCCGACACGCCGCTGCCGTCGGTAGACTACCTCGCGCCACTGCCAGTGCGCAAGGAAGATGCGGGGACCGGCTTGGCGCTACCGCCGGCTGGTGTCGGCTTTGAGAGCCTACTCGACGCTGCTTGCTCGGCGTTCCTCACGCACACTCCGGAGCTTAACGACGCCTTCTCGTCGTTTGTCATGTCGCTCCTCAACGACTTTCGCATGAAGCAGCAGTTTATGCGGGTCTTCATGACGTACTACGCCCACATGGCGCGCCACCTGCCGCGCCTTGCCCTCCGCGATGCTGGTCAGCCGGCAGCCGTCCGCGAGGCGTCCAAAAAGTTCCTCGATGACCTGGTCAATCGGCTCTCGGCGCAGCTCTTCTCGTTCCCGCACATCATGCTCGAAGTGTTTGACACTTACAACCTGCTTGGCGTTATCACCGATGCCGTCCGTCTCGTCCTCGAGTCGACCGCTGCAGACTTTCCGTACGCTCCGCAGACCTTTGCCTCGCGCGCCGAGGCCGTGGCCTCGGGCATCCGTTTTGCGCCGGTCGTTCGCCGCATCGACGTCACCTCGCCCATCATCGAGCAGCGCCACTACTGGTCGTTTTCCAACGACATTGTCTCTATTCTGGGCCACGCCGAAATTGCTGCGCACTGTCTCACTGCGCCGCGGGTCTTTGACGCGCTCCTTGACCTCGCTGCGACGGCCAACGAGATTTTCCCCATGTTCCAGCTCCAGGTCGGTCAGTACGATGCATGGGCGGCCAGCCTCACGCTCCAGGCCGAAGTCGTCCAGCCGTTTTCGTCGTTTGCCGACGGTCTCCGCCACCACCATGCCGCCCACGCCGACGTCGGTCCATGTGATTGCGTTGAGATCATGCAGAGCGTTATTCGCCGTGCCGCCGACAAACTGATCGCCACAGAGACGACGCTTGCCGCGGATACCACCCCGACCAACCGCGACAGCACGGTCCCGTTTGCGTCGCGCTCGGTCGGCGCCGGCGTCTCGCTCTGCTACCCGCTGCAACGGGTAGTGGCCCAGCTTGTCAGCATCGCTGTCAACGACCTCGCGCAGCTCAAGATGGCTGGCGAGCCGGTGGCCGTGCCGAGCGTGGCCGAGCTGTTTGGCGTTGCCGGCGACGAACCCGCCGCCCGAGCAGCAGCCGTGAAGCTCGCGACGGCCCTGTTTGTTCGTCCGATGCGCGCCCAGGCCTGGCTTGCCCAGACCCGGACTGGAGCCTGGCGTCGCGGCGGCAAGGGTATTGAGACCACAGTGTACGTCTACGTCTCGTCGGGATTTGGCGCCCGTCTCCGCGACCTAGACACTTTTGCGATGCAGGTCGCTCTCTCTCTGGTGGCCAACGAGACCGAGTCGCTGCTTCTGCCGGCAGCATCCGCGTTTGGCATTGGCCCGCCCGAGTTTGCGGCTATTGTCGACCTCCATTCACCAACCGTCTCCCAGTACGATGGCTTCCTCACCTTTGTCTATGCTCTCGCCACGGACCGGCTGCAGACAGGCATGCCCCTCAAGGCCGCAGTCAAGCGCGAGTTAGTCCATCGGCTGGCCTGCGCGCCGGCCTCGTTCTCTATCATCCAGCGCCAGCTCGGCTCGACCTTTGCTCGCCACCCGGCATTCTCGGACATCCTCAACTCGATCGCCGACTTTGTGCCGCCGACCGAGTCGCATTCTTCAGCGTACAAGCTCAAGCTGGACTCGTGGTTCCTGTTCGAGGCCACCTTCCCGCGGTACTCATCGCGCGAAGCTCACACCGCCCGCGAAAACTACTCGGCCATCCGGCGCTCCGCTGCCGACAAGGTCAAGCTCTCGCCGCTGCCACTGCCAGACGTCCACCGCCACCTTGTGCCGGCCTTTGCCTGGCTCCCGGACCTCCTCTCCAACCATCTGGTCTTTGCACTCACCTGGATGTTTGCCTTTCACGTCTCGGGTGCGCCGGGCGCTGCCGATGCTGCGCCGCCATCGTCGCTCTTTTACGCCCACTACTACTCGCTCGGTACGCTGCTGCAGGCCACCCGCCCACTCGACGTCGAATCTGACACGAGAGTGGGAGACGCGTGGCGCGCGGCCATGGACCAGCGCCCGATGATTTCGACGCTAGACGACGCACTGGGCGTGTTCTTTGACCTTGACGAGTCGCCACTTGGCGCGTGCCTTGAAGCGGTCATCTGCATGCGATTTCGGGTGGCACCGCCGTCGGGCGGGACTGACCTACCAGAGGTCTCGGTCCTGGGCTCGCTCATCCGGCTCCACGACTCGACTGCCGACGCCGAGGAGCTGTCGGTGGTGCATGCGGTGCTTGCGCGGGCATGGGCGTTTTCGGCCCTCGTCCGCGGTGAGATGGAAGGCGTCCTGGAGAAGGCTGGCGAGAGCGGGGCATCGCTACTAGCATCGCTGGCGTCGGGCTCTGGTGTTGTCGACAACGCCAAGGAGGCACGACGCCTTCGGGTCAAGCGCAAGCGCGAGCGCATCCTCGCCAAGATGCAAAAGCAGCAGTCCAAGTTTATCTCAAACCACGGCGCACTGTACTCGGAGGACGGCGACGACGACGGCGAGCCAAGCGGCACCGGTAGCAGCAGCCAGGCCGAGGCCGCTGAGGCCGCTGCACACGGCGATGGTGCGCTCTCGGCGCCACTGGGCCTTCCGGAGCGCCCTCCGTCTACGAGCTCGCTCTCGTGTGTCCTATGTCACGTCGCCGGGCCGCGATACGACGGCGCGGACACCGAGACTGCCACTGGTCGCGGCGGCGGTATCCTTGGCCCGATCTGCGCTGTCGGCTTTGCCTCTCCACATGGCTTATTTGCTGACGAATGGGCGGCGGTGACTGCGCTCAAGACCCGTGTTGATCGTGGCACCGGCCACGAGCGCAACGAGGCAGGGTCCAACGCCAATCCTGGAGTCGAGCCCCAGCCTGAGCCGTCGATCGACTCCGACTCTGACTCGGATTCTGACTCGGAGGGGCCGCCACCGGCGCCGATCCGGCGCGAGTCTCTCATGGCCCGCCTGCAGTCGATGATTGTGGCGCTATCCGGGCAGCGCCCGCGGGAAGGCTTGGGCACAGCTGGTGAGGACGACACGGGTCAGCCGGGTCCGAGCGAGACGAGCACGCCGATGGAAGAGGAGGGCAACGGGGAGGTCCGGTCGAGTGACGATGCGCCGGTGGCGCTAGCACTCAACATGCGACCGCTGCCGGAGCCCAACGCAGTCGGCGATATGCTGGAGCCTCCGCCGGCAGCGCCGCCGTCGATCCACTTTTGCGGGCACTTTTGTCACGCCTCGTGCATGCATGCCTACTTTCAGACGCTGCTCAACAAGCGTTGGACCGGCGCCGCCAACGTGCGTCTCGGAGAGTTTCTCTGTCCTCTCTGCCGGCGGCTCTCAAACGTTGCGGTGCCGCTGGGGGCGAGCGAGGCGGAGAGCGTGGCGCCGGTGGAAGCGGCGGCGTACACGCTAAGCCCTGTCTCGTACGGCGGGTGGGCCGATGCGGTGGAGACGGTGACAGAATCCAGCGGCGGAGCAAGCGAGAGCGTGGCGCGAATGGCTGCCGCCGCCGGAGAGTTTCCGGAGCCGATGGCCGAGGCGCTGGTGACGATGGTGGAACGAGTGGGGCTTGCGACGACGTCGTGCCCACCGCACATGGCGGCACAGCCGAGCATGGCGTCGGTGGTCTTTGCGCTCGCGCCGCTGCGTGCGCTGGTGGCGGCGGAAGAGGAGGCTGCGCGAATGAGCGTGGGGACGGTGGTCCAGGCAAGCGCGCTGGTTGACTCGGCGTTTTCTGACGAGCCGCGGAAGCGGCGGCTCATGTTTGGCCTGCACGATGCTGTGCGGGCGGGCATCGGCGTTCTCGCGCATCGGCGCGAGAGCGTGGCCAGCGGCATCGTTGCCGCCCTTGCCAACTCGCTCACAGCTGCCGGTCCGAGCGGTAGCGGCGGCGAGGATGATGAGCGCGAAACAGTGGTCCTCGACTCGCTAGAGCTGTTCCAGCTGCTCGTCCTGCTGCAGAATGGCGGGCGGGTGGATGCGGACGGGTTCCGAGCAGCGGCGCGGGTGGCGGTGGCGTACGAGGTTGCGAGCTTCCTGGTGCGGGTGGCCGTGGAGGACGACCTCGCGCGACTGGTCGAGCCGCTTGTGGAAGTGGTGGCCGGGCCCGAGGTTGCCGCGCCGTTTGTGGCTGCACTCCATTCGCTCCGGACGACGATTCCGCCGCTTGGTGCAGTCTCGACCGGCGTGCAGGCAACGCTGGATCGGATCCGCAAGATGCTCGTGCTTGGGCCAGCGGTGATGGCTGGCGCGCCGAACGACGAGGTTGGGGCCGAGGCCGTGCTTGCCGCCAACGTGCTCCCGTTGCTCCGGCGGCTGGTGGTGTACGGGAGCGGGCCGCTCGGGCTCGGGTTCGAGTCGAGCGCAGGTTCGGTCGAGGAGGCACCGGCAACCGCAGAGGCCGAGGCCGAGGCACTGCTGCGATTGATCGGCGTGAGCTCGGGTGGGTTTGGCATAGTGGCCGAGGGCGGGCCCGGAATGGCCAAAGCGATGCTCAGCTGGATCCATCCGCAGCTCGTGGTGTGTGCACCGGTGAGGCGCACGCTGCCAACGTACCTCGGGTGCGAGATCGGCGGTCCGCCTGCGCTGGAGCTTGTGGCCCTGCCGCGGGCCTACGAAGAGGTGTACCAGGATGCGTTTACCCAGCCGTGCGACAAGTGCGGGGAGATTGCGGCACAGCCCATCATGTGCCTCTTCTGCGGCAAGATCATGTGCACATACCCGGGGCAAAAGTCGACGTCAACGTCACGATGCCGCAACGGGTACCAGCATGCGCGTGAGTGCCGCGGTGGTGGTCTCGGTCTGTTCCTCGTCCTCTCTGTCACCTCTGTCCTCCTCCTGCGGGCAAACCGGTTCTCGTGGTCCCATCGACTCTACTTTGACCGGCACGGCGAACCAGACGTTAACCTCACCCGCGGTCTGCCAGTCTTTCTGCAGGAGAGTCACTACATGGCGCTGGCGCTCGCCGCCGTCCGCAACGGCTTTGACTGGGATTCGGTGACCAAGGAGATCCGGCGGGAGGAGCTGTGCTCGTGGTAAGGGCGAGGTGGGTGAGACCTTCTTCAATGCAACGCGCCAGGAAGGCAAGCGCGACGGCGCCATCATCGGCGTCTGTTCTGAGCGTTGTACTTGACAGCGTTGTTAAAGGCGGTGAGCCAGTCGGAGAGCTCGCCGGCGTTGTAAAAGCCAAGAATGTAGGCCTTTTTCTTGGTCGAGTGCGCCGGGGTGAGCCGGATGACGTGCTCTTTGCCGGCTCTGTCGTCGGCGGAGACCTTTGTGGTGACGGCGCACGACGTGAGGTTGATGACGCCCTTCATCTTCTTGTCCATGGGCGAGGCCTTGTAGGCGAGGACAAAGCCGCCGCCGTTCTTGCCACCTGGTGTGGGGTCGATGTCGAGCTCTGCCCAGCGGCGCTGCCACTTGTCCTTGCGGCGGCCACCGAGCTTCTCCATCCAGCCGTGCTTGATGCACTCTTCCTTGGTGATGGCGACGTCTTTGGTGGGGAGCGAGGCGAGGGTGGGGGCAGACGATGTACCCCCGACGATGGCGACTGGGGCGGCGACCGGCGACGAGAGCTCGGACGACGATGGTGGGGCGGTCGAATAGGGAGCGGCGCCGGCGGAGACGGCGGGGTCGGAAAGGAGGTTTGCGCGTGGGTCGGCAGCGTGGGCACCCGGCGACGAGAGCGTGCCCGATGTCGAGGTGCCGTCGTGGGTGGTGTAGTGGCCTTCAGAGCCAATGCCGCCAGTCAGCGACGTCCGCGACGAGCCACCGGTCAAGGGTGGCGGCACCGCAATGTCTGTCGGCGATCCGTGGAGCATGTCATCGTGGTAAGACGTCATAGCCGACTCATTCAGCGCCTGCATCATGGCCGAGTACTCGCTCGATTCAGCAGCGTTGCCGGTAGTTGTGGCCTGTGAGATCGATGCCATCAGCAGATGGAGCTCGTCGCGGGTAGCGGTAGCCGCCACCGGGCCACCGGCCGCGCCTACCGCGCCGCCACCAGGCCTCGACGACATCGATGCCATGTTGGCGCCGGCGACTTTGGCCAGAGCAGCCTGGAGCTCAGCCTGGGCATCGGCGCCAAAGGTCTCCACCTCTGACGCTTTGATATCGACCTGATTGAGCAGCTTGAGCATCTCCACGTCCAGCGCGCCCGAGCCGGTCTGCGACGAGTGGAGCATAGACATTACCGAAGATAGATCCGGCGCAGGCGAACCTGCAGTTCCTCCGCCTGGGCGAGTAGCCCCGCCACCTGGTCGGGAATGCGCACCACCACCAGGCGGAGCAAGCGTCGATGACGAATGTGTCGAGCTTGAGGTTGACCGACTTCCACCGCTTCCTCCAGGAAGGGTAAGTCCGCCGCCAGAGTCGCTCGGAAGAGGCGGTGGCGGGCTGCTGGCCATAGTCACGGTTGGGGGGTGGGGGGGAAGGGGGTGGTGGTGAGGGGGGTGGGGAAGGGTGGTGGTGAGGGTGGGGGAGGGTGGAGTGCTCGCTCTGCTTGTCGTCAACCGTAGACTACGGCAAAGAGCTGGTGGTGGTTGTGGTGGCTGTGGTGGTGGAGCAGGTGGCGTTGCACGTTGTGCGCGTGGCCTCCGTTTTGGGGGGGGGGGAGGGGGGGGGGGGGGGGGGGGGGGGAGGGCGGAAGGTACGGCGAAAAATGGTCGCATTCTGCTCGTT